GCCGATACCGATAACAGAAAAAATGAGCATTTATCGGCCGATACCGATATGGAGGCCGATATATCGTGCATCCCTACTTATTATACAGTGTCGTCTTCACGTTTACATATGCAAAAAGGTAAGATAAGAGGAGCAATGTGACATCCATATGAGTTCCTATGTTTGGTAATGGGGGGGACTCACCTTTGGGGTGATATAGGGCCAAATCTGAGATACTTTTGCTTTCCATTACTCTAATGGGACGTCAATGGGGGACTCGTGGAGCTGCCGATGTGTACTTCAAAAGCCACCAGATATGAAATCTTCAAGGGGTTCAACATTTCAGGAAAGATAAGGAATGTTTATTCTGAATTGTTCAAAACATCAGCTATGACTGGCCTGTAACACTGGTTCTACTGTTTGCAGCTGCCTCTAGGTAAGAAAAAGAGTTCTGCAGAAACCAACCAGATATAGCTTTATATCAGATAAGACATCTCAATTAAGAGAACGCCTTCATGGGTCAGCAGGTCATTGGCATTACTGGCCAATGTGCTCGTATAACTCTCCAGTCACTTAAACAAACCTTGATACCGTCCGTTTACACTCAGTGGTATATCCTAATGCTGCCTTATCAAACCATTTTTCTTTCCTATTCAAGAGTCGCTTTCTGCCTTTGAATTGCATTAATATTTTTTTTTTGAGCAGCCCTTTCAAACTCAACCTCCAAGATATTGCTACTGTGCTTATCACCTGAAAGCATCTCTTCTGGATGAAGAACTGAAACAGCGCCTGGCACCAGAGCAAAACGACTTTTCAACGCTGTTGGTTCTTTTCACAGAAAGAGAGGGAGAGGCAGGGGCCAATGAATTTGATTTTTACTTTATGAATTTATCGACCACAACATGTTAAGGGCTACTTCAATCAAAAATGAATTTCTGTCACCCTCATGTTGTTCCAAACCTATATGACATTCTATCATCAGTGGAAGTCAAAAGATGGTTGCTTTTTTCCAAACACAATTAATGATGAACGAAGATGTCAAGTCTCAAAAAGGATGGTATGATCATCTCAAAAGTATAATAAAAGTGATAAGACTATAGCGCACTATATTCCAAGTCTTATGATTGTTTTGCGTGAGAAACAGAGTTGTTTTTCACTAACAATCTTACACTCCGGTGAGCTGTTAACGGTTGCGACCAGTTAAAAGAGTCAGTTGAACTCAAGATCCAAATCAGTCCGATTCATAAACGAATAATTCTGATTGGTTTTCTGAATTGTGTCAACTATTTCCTTGAAAAGATTTTCAAACGAATTAAACATTGCTACTTTTCTCAGGAAAGTGTCAAGAAGAGCTTATGGCTTAAAATAGTTGAGTCTCATAGACCACTTTTATATTTTGCGTTGTTTTAAGGGCTTTACATCTTCAGTCCCCATTCATTGTCATTCAATGGAAACGAGCAACCAAGATATTCTTCAAAATTTCTCCTTTTGTGTGCCACAGAAGAAGGCTAAGTCATACAGGTTTGCAGCAAAATGATGGTGTGTAAATGATGACTGAACTTCATATCTTGCATGCAATCATTAAATGTCGTTTTAAGACCAACTAATGGTGCCTGAACATTATAGCGTTAAAATGGAAAGATGGGGAAAAAAAGATCCAATTGTAATCCAATATCATATGGAGAGATCAGCTGGGCGCGCTATCTGACATCTCATCTCTGGAAAGAGAACTGAAAAGCCGGAGGAAAATGCAACAGCAGCCTCGGTGCAGCCACAGACAGAAAACAAATAAAAGATCCAATTTGAATCCTTATCTCGACTGAGATCGGATCGCTGTTTATCTGAACTCATATCGTCTTTTTCAGAGAACAGTGATGTTTCCACAACAGTATTAAACAGGAAGCCAGGGTTAACGTTACACTTCGGTTGGAGCAGACGAAAGCACTTTTACAAATTAAAAACTAAAATACTATTACGAGTTTATTTCACACAATTATCGCCGCTGTATTTGAAAAGTAAAGCGCGAGTTTCAGCGGCGCTGACGAGCCGCGCGTCCCAAAAGCTGTTGGTTACTATGGCAATTGTAAGTAAATATAGCCATTTCTAATTTTTCTACTGTCGTAAAACCATTACAACACAAAGACTGTTTGAACAGACCGCTCACACATCCAAAGCGTGCCTCGTGTTAATAGAAAGATCTTGTCAGTTTCCACTAAATTATTTAAAGGCATGACAACGTTGCGCTCAAAAACCAATGATATCCAGTCATATGAATAATGTCACACACTTTATCAAATTGAGAAACTATTCAAAACAACAGCACCGGTACTAGTGAAACTTTAAACGCTTACGTTTGATCTGCCGGGGTTTGCTCTGCTTTCTTCGGGACATGCTTATTCCGTCGTTCCTGCTCAGCTTGCGGCAAAAGCGATCAGTCCACCGGAGTCACTAGCAGTAACAGCAGCACTGGATCACAGTTCTCTGCCCGTCCGAAGACACCCGCATGACCTGCACTTTGATATTCAGAGCCGAAAGTGCTACCTGCAGCCGAGTGAGGCTTAGTTACTTTTCGACGTCTTCCCAGAGGAGCGATCTATCCTCTCCGTTAGCCACAGAAAACTCTGCCGATGACAACGCATATGATACTGTAGAAAACTAAACCTTTAGCTTTTAATGATTTGTTTATGTCTACTCCGGTGAAGCACAGAGGGAGCGCAGTTCTCAACAGCGCTCGATCGACACATGAAACAGTGGCGCTGATATGTTATGACACGCCTCCGTCACGCCCCTTGCGTATGATGCCATGCCGCACGCCGCACGCCGCTCCCAGCAAGCTCTCGATCCCCCAAACATCACATTTCCATCCGTGCAAGGCATGCAATGTGTGCCTCGTTTGCATGCTAAACAATTTTCTTAAGGATGAGCGTATACGGAAAATCTGGAAGGGGCTATTCAAAAATAATAAAGTTATTTACCTCTACTCGTTTTAAAATTAGTATTATAATTTTGTATTGCATAAATTATATATAAACGATTATATATACATAATAATAATAATACTTTATTATAATATATTTATAATTATTATTATTAATATAAAATATAAAAATCTAATCAATTCAATAATATTGATTTATCATTGGACTAATATAGATAGATGTAATATAGATAGATAGATAGATAGATAGATAGATAGATAGATAGATAGATAAAAAATAAAAGATCCAATTTGAATCCTTATCTCGACTGAGATCGGATCGCTGTTTATCTGAACTCATATCGTCTTTTTCAGAGAACAGTGATGTTTCCACAACAGTATTAAACAGGAAGCCAGGGTTAACGTTACACTTCGGTTGGAGCAGACGAAAGCACTTTTACAAATTAAAAACTAAAATACTATTACGAGTTTATTTCACACAATTATCGCCGCTGTATTTGAAAAGTAAAGCGCGAGTTTCAGCGGCGCTGACGAGCCGCGCGTCCCAAAAGCTGTTGGTTACTATGGCAATTGTAAGTAAATATAGCCATTTCTAATTTTTCTACTGTCGTAAAACCATTACAACACAAAGACTGTTTGAACAGACCGCTCACACATCCAAAGCGTGCCTCGTGTTAATAGAAAGATCTTGTCAGTTTCCACTAAATTATTTAAAGGCATGACAACGTTGCGCTCAAAAACCAATGATATCCAGTCATATGAATAATGTCACACACTTTATCAAATTGAGAAACTATTCAAAACAACAGCACCGGTACTAGTGAAACTTTAAACGCTTACGTTTGATCTGCCGGGGTTTGCTCTGCTTTCTTCGGGACATGCTTATTCCGTCGTTCCTGCTCAGCTTGCGGCAAAAGCGATCAGTCCACCGGAGTCACTAGCAGTAACAGCAGCACTGGATCACAGTTCTCTGCCCGTCCGAAGACACCCGCATGACCTGCACTTTGATATTCAGAGCCGAAAGTGCTACCTGCAGCCGAGTGAGGCTTAGTTACTTTTCGACGTCTTCCCAGAGGAGCGATCTATCCTCTCCGTTAGCCACAGAAAACTCTGCCGATGACAACGCATATGATACTGTAGAAAACTAAACCTTTAGCTTTTAATGATTTGTTTATGTCTACTCCGGTGAAGCACAGAGGGAGCGCAGTTCTCAACAGCGCTCGATCGACACATGAAACAGTGGCGCTGATATGTTATGACACGCCTCCGTCACGCCCCTTGCGTATGATGCCATGCCGCACGCCGCACGCCGCTCCCAGCAAGCTCTCGATCCCCCAAACATCACATTTCCATCCGTGCAAGGCATGCAATGTGTGCCTCGTTTGCATGCTAAACAATTTTCTTAAGGATGAGCGTATACGGAAAATCTGGAAGGGGCTATTCAAAAATAATAAAGTTATTTACCTCTACTCGTTTTAAAATTAGTATTATAATTTTGTATTGCATAAATTATATATAAACGATTATATATACATAATAATAATAATACTTTATTATAATATATTTATAATTATTATTATTAATATAAAATATAAAAATCTAATCAATTCAATAATATTGATTTATCATTGGACTAATATAGATAGATGTAATATAGATAGATAGATAGATAGATAGATAGATAGATAGATAGATAGATAAATTAGTATTATTAAATACATTCTAATAAAATATTCTAATATCATTCTATAAAAGTAGCCTATTAATAATAATAATGTTATTATTATACATAATTATAATAAAAATAAATTAAAATATTTTAATTTTTAAATAATACAAACAACACAATTCTATATAATATTAATAACATATCTAATTGATATGAATTATTATTATTACTCTGTCATTGTTGTAAAAAATAATTTATATGATAAATATTTTGTGGTAAAAAAATTTACTTAGTTTTTTATCATTTTTCCTTGACTATTTTATATAATTCTGCATTTTTATTGTTCTACTCTCTTTTGCTGCTGCAACATTGCGGTTCCCCTCACAGAGGAATCAATAAATATTATTCCATTCTATATATTTACTGTAAATGGGGTCATGGCCAATATCTCCAAGTAAATGTTGGGTGGTGATTACTGAAATACAAAAGTTTTACAATTATAGATTATAGTCAATCATGGTATAATTACCAAAAAAGTAAGAATGCTGTTACCATTTTCTGTGACCTACTCAAAAACTCGCTGCTTCCATCTAGTGACCAGAGAAAAAGCTTAAAGGCACAATATGTAAGATTATTTTATTAAAATATCCAAAAACCACTAGAACAGTGTTATATATTTTGCTGACTTGTGTATTTACATTATCCCAAATGTTTCGAATAATGTTTAAATCCAGAGAAGTAAACAATTTTAACTAGTGACACGGGTCGTGTCCATAGTGTCATTCTGTCACCTGCCAATGACGTCATAACCCCTCGATTTCCGGTTTTGTTTTGTTTTGTAGAAAACATGGAAACACCAAAGACGCTTTAATGTGTTGTGCGTTTTAATAGTCCGGTGACGACCGCACAGAGTAGCATTATAACAGAACTTTCAAATGTATCTAGTATGATAAAACAGCGCTGCTTTTTTTTACCACATACGCACAACCGGAAGCTCGACTGTGGCATAATAAATGCTCAGCTGCTTTCGAGCCGTGTGTCGCGCTCGTTCAGCGGCCTCGTTTCGCTTCGACGGCTTTCAGCCTCACCCTGCTTCATTCTACTACGTTAACAAATCATTAGCTCATCCATGAACATGATTTCCGCCCGAGCCCCGTCAGATTGCATCGGCTGTGGGGATGAAGACGACAACTCCCATGATTGCACACAGTCATGGCGTCATCAAACTACGCCTTTGTCGCTTTGTTTATTTGTAATACGCGCCCTCTAGCGGCAAAAATTACATATTGTGCCTTTAACTCATGTCCCACAGTAGTGGCCACCCTATTGACCATGGTTGCAATGAGCTTACTTTGCATATGTTAATTACGTTGCATATGTTTTGCATATAATAATAGGAATGTATTAGATACATTCCTCTCAGGCCACAACATTTGAATATGAGTCAAATACATCAACCATGTCATGTGTTAACAAACTGGAACTTGTGATGCAACCACAAATAATAGCAACAACACTAGAATAAAACACTAACCGACAATTCTGTGTTGTGTCATGATTTGTTAGAAGGTTCAGAGCAAACTATTTGGGCAGACTATTAACAACTATTTACAAGATCAATGTCTAACCTTGTTAATCTTGATGTTGGAGGAACATTGTTCATCATGTCTTTCATGATTAAACATGATGAAATCAACATTTAAAATAAAAAGGATTATGCACTCATAATGACAATAAATGATGACATAAACAATACAATAAACTAAAGCAGGATACACTGAAAATAAACTATAAATCTATATTTTGAACACCGCATTTCAAATGCATTTACATTTGAGGTTGAACTTGCAATTTTGTGTGAGCAGATCAGTTCTTGGGTTGAGGGTTGATAACTGTTGTGCCACCAGTCAAACAACTGCTTATTTAAAAAAAAAAAACAACAACGAAATCGACTACTAAGTGAGTGTCAATGGATACAGCTTTTAACTTCTCACTCAGCTTCATAACCTTCAAGCTTTCCTGGTAGCGTTGTTCAATAAAACCGACATAAGGCATGAATTATTAACCTACCTTTGAAGAATCTGAGCCTCTGTGACACTCTTTTACCATCTGCATTAGCGCACACTTTATCACTGGGTACAGCATGAACCGCTTTCACAGAAGAATTTACTGTGATGGCAAATGAAATGATCCATATGGGAATGGCTGAGAATAAAAAAATTATGATTTTTCTTTAAAATTTTGATTTATGTGTTTGGTTCACTTCACCAATAAATGTAAGATTTTAGAACTCTAATCTAACAAACATTTCAGTACAGAACACAGAGATGCAGAGATCAAGTTCTATACTAATTATGACTATTTATACACAGAACAGATTTTTCTGTTCTCAGTACAGGAATCCCACTTTGTACACATGTATCAGCTGATTTGTTTTTTTAAGGTTGTAAAGTAGGATCAGGATAAAGGCCAGGATTTTGTAACTGAGCCTGTGTGAGTGATTGATTTCGTGAGCTGTTCATTACATGAGAGGCTGTATCCGTCTTTAATGAAAGAACAGCTATGATAAAAGAAATTTTGCTCTGCCTGTGCTTGACCCTGCTGCTTGGACAGCCCCTCTACAGACAGGTAAGAATTTCATTAGATTATGTTGCTTTTTAGATAACATTGAACATTATACAGTGAATTAAACTTTGACTTAATTATCTATTTTATTCATTTTTGAAGGAGTATTGTTACTGGACAGGAATATATAATAATATGATTAATCATTTTTATTAAAGAATGGGTGTTAATGTCAGATTTGTTTGTTTTTGTACAGACTCTGGGCCGGTGGTTGTTCTAAAGCATGGCAGTATCTGTGGCCAATATATGAAAGTTAAAGGCTCAGAAAAAGTGGTGGAGCAGTATTTGGGCATTCCTTTTGCCCAGCCGCTTGCTGGCCCTCTCTGCCTGGCTTCACCTAGTCCTGTACAGGGATGGGAGGGCATAAGAAACACCACCTAGCACCCATTCATGTATGACTATATTCATTAAAGGGGTCATATAATGCGATTTCAATTTTTCCTTTCTCTTTGGAGTGTTACAAGCTCTTGGTGCATAAAGAAGATCTGTAAAGT